GCCCGCCGCGGCTCTTCTCGCCGGGCTGCCGAGCCGGCAGCAGCAGCAGCAGCAGCAGGAGGAGGAGCAGCAGGAGGAGGAAGAGCGCGGGTACCCCCTTGACCCTCTTCTCCCCGAGCGGAGGGACCGCACCTTCCCGTGAGTACCGACCTGGCCGTCTCTGTCACCGCGCCGTGCAGCACGCTGCGGGAGGTGCCGCGCCCGCCGCCGCGCCGCTGTCACATCCCGCCGCACCGCCGCCGCTGTCAGATTCCCCCGCACCGCCGGTGTCATCCGTCCCCCGGACCGCCGGTGCCACATCCCGCCACACCGCCGGTGTCACATCCCTCCGTGCTGCCGGTATCACATCGCCCYTTGCCGCCGCCTCGACGAGTGGAGGAGCGGCGAGGAGCAAGCCGCCCTCCGCGGGTGCCGGGGCTCCTCCGACGGAGCGGGCGAGGAGGCACCCGGCGAGCTGGCCCGGTGTTGCGGTGGCCGCTGCGGGGCTTTGTTGCGGCGGCGGCCGGTGGCACCTCCCGGGGCGGGCGGGTCGGGGCCGGGCGGGCCGGGCGGAGTCGCTCCGCGGCTGCGACGCGCCCACATCCCCGGGCGGGCTCGGTCGCCATTTCGTGCGCTGCCCGGCGGGGGCGAGGGCCGGGCGTGTGCGGGGAAAGGAGCTGTCGGTGCTGAAGTGCCGCGGTCCGCTCTTCGGCTCTTGCGCCTTAATTTGACACCCGTTCTTTCTTTCTTTCTTTCTTTCTTTCTTTCTTTTTTTTTTTTTTCCCCTCCCTTTTCAATTACGATTTTGTTCGAGTGAAATAGCTACAATGTGTCTGAATCGCGGGCTTTTAGTGTTTTCCCTTGTTTGCTCCTTGATGGCGATTAATGCAGAATATCGTGGTGAAGTCTGGGCAGCGAATGCACTTGTCTCTTTGGTTAAAAACTGATAATAACKAAACCTTTAGCTGTCGCTGAAGTCTTCAGCATAGATGTGTTAGTTTTGAAGTCTGAAATGTGTTTAAACCAAGGCTTCGGAGTCTAAGTGTAAACAGTACCTGATTAATAATGCCAAGCTGTTTAAATATTTAAGATCAGAGTGCGCCTCAGTTCAGTCAATAAGGCTGTTCCATATTGACAAGTACTTTGTGAAAGGAATGCTTTTGCTTAGCTTTCTGTGTCGTTGGATAAAACAATGGAAAATGTGATATGCAGCTCTACAGTGAAACCTACAGATCATAATAAGATGTTCTTTTATGCATAAAGGTTCAACTTTTGTGTATTTATTCAAAACAACCTCCGACTGAGTGAAGAAGTCAGTAGTAAACACCTGTGCTTCTTTTTCTAATGTTCCCTGTCTTTGTGCATTTCTTTCTCTGTGTCTGATTTTGATTCTTAATTAAGTATATTGTGGGAAAGGTAGGTGAACTCTGAAAACTCCATTATATCTAACAGGTACACTATTAATCATTTCAACGTCTTCCATAATTTAATGTAATAGATGTGATAATTTATGGATAGTAGTTATAAGGGTCTGTGCATAAAACAGGTCAGTGTACGACATCAGAAAGCATCTGGACTGTATTTTGAGTTTAAGAGCAGCTTATATGGCAAGAGGCAGATCTTGCTGCTGTTCTTTGGCAAAGGTTATCAGCTGGAAAGAGAAGGATAGTTTAGAGTTACATAGCTCAAAGGACCTAGAAATCAGAAAACTGACTTGCAGGTGAAGCATCTTTTTTATATTTGTCTAACGTGTTTGATATTATCATTTGTATGAATACACCTCAGGCATTTGTTTAGTTTTGATTAGAAATTACAATGCAAGCGACCAGAGCTGCTAAAGAGTTTGATGCCGAAGTCTGTGAAAGTTACTTATTTGAATTTCAAAGTACTTTGAAATTCTCTTGGATGTCTAAAATTAGCTGTCAGACTATATCAGTATAGAACTGGGAAAGTGTTACATTCTGAGAATATTGAATGTAAAGAAGCAAACCCAGAAAGCTGCTTGGTGGTGACAGAGCTTGGGATCCATTGAATGAATTCTGCGTAGCTAAAGTCAAACTGTACAGCTGTGTGTGACCACATTGGATGGAGGGGTAGTATATAYCAGCTGGTGCTAAAGACAGAGCTAAAACCCTCTCCACAACTCACAGATAAATCTGCAACACACAGATAAATCCAMCACTAATCATTAGCATCTTAGTTCCTTCATTACAATTACTGGCCACGGAAAATTATTCAAAAGTAATAATGTTCAAAGTGAATTATATCACCAGAATCTGAGTCTTAGTTCCAGTTCCTTATCTTCTTGAAGAAAGCATATTATTTAGCACATATACCGCATCTTGTTTGATAAGAAGGGCTGTAATAAGAAAATTCGGCGATTTTAAATGATCTTTACTTTCAGAAAATGAAGTAACAAGCCCAATGATGCATACTGACAGCTTCTGCTACCTTGTTGCACTCTGATGTTTCTCTCTGGTGCTCAAAAAGGTGACAGAAAAAGCTTTAGTAACCGAGTTAAGAGTTTCTTGGAGTTAATGACATGTCTCTCTAATTTTATTGTTTTGAGGATTCTGATATCAAGTCAGGAAAAGGTAATGCATATCTGCCCATTCTTCCTTCTTTAGGGAAATGACATGCCATGGTATCTGGACRTAAAAGATACTGAATACACTAAGGGTTTGGTGTTTTTATTGATTATTGCATAGCTCAAATAGCTTAATCAGCCTAAAAATTAAATCTGTTTTGTCTGTGCCTGTGAAATTGCTTTTATTCTGTAGTTTTGTTAATTTGTCTCAATTCACCTTGAATTGTGATTACTTGATTTCCTTTATATGGAAATAGTACAGTAAAATTGTGCTGTTCAGCTGGACTTGTTAATTTCTTCATATTTTATGAACGGAATTGGTGAAATGGGAAGTCATACAGAAGAAAGTATATCTTGGTACTGAAAGCTGAGGGAATAATGTAGGAGGTTTTGTGTTGGGCAATATGCAATGAATTTGATTTTGCCTTCCTGAGTGGGCTGGTAGTATTTAAAAAATTCCGTTATACTTTCTCTGCAGTTATAATTTGTGGCATTTTAAATTGGTAAATGTGTGTATTGCCTCTTCAGTTCAGTATTAAAGACATTGCAACTTCTGCATTCATAAATACTGTCTCATAAATGTGATATTAAAGGAATTTGTAAAGAGTTGGTCTCTAATAATAAGATTAACATGATGCACYGTAAGTTTTGTCCTACAGTTTGTTAACCAGGAAAGGATAGTTGCAAGCTTGCTATATTGCTTTCTTCTGAGCTACTGGAGGCTGGCTGAGCTTTCAGTTATTTACCTCAATAGAAAACTGAAAGGGAAAAAGTGAACAAAGGAGGTCTGTTTTGCCTGTCCCACTTGCTGGGCTGTTGTCTTTGCCCTTTTCAGTGAAGGAGGGGGTAGAGCTGGGTCAAAGTTGAAGAACACTGAAAAGGAATTCAAGTCTTATATTGAAATGGGAATGATAGCTTAGTTTGAGCGTCGAACACATTTGTTTGAATTGATTTTTTTTCGGTCTGTGGGAGCTTTAACTGACAGATGGTGATGGACTGGCATATAGACTGCTAGAAGATACAGCTAGATATGTGTTCAGACCCTGATTAGACACTCAGTAAACAAGTGCATATCTGATGAGACTTTTAATACTGGAGATACTGATGCTAGACACTGTGCAACACACTAGACATTTGATTGTGTGAATTAAGGGCAGACCCCTGCAGCTGGCATACATTCAGACTTACTTGTCTAGCCTAATTGCATTGCAAATATTCTTCTGGATTGATCTTTAGCTTCTCCCTTCTAATAAATGTTGAATAAGTACAGAAATGTTCATCTGGATCCTCTATTAACTGTTGTTAAGAAGCTTTCAAATTTTTTTTGGTTTGCTGTATGAATTGGGATGTGTCTTGGTATTCATTCTGTGAATACACTGTTTTCCTACAGTGTTTTGGTTTTGAAATGGCTCAATTCATAATGTGATTACAGCTTTCCCCTTGTTAACTTTTTAGTATGGAAGCATAACAGCTTGAATTATAAAATGTTTCTGTAAGAGCTCACAGTAACCCCATTCTACTTTAAGCAACTAAACTTTATATTAAAAAGCAGCATTTGAAGCAGTGCATCTAAATGCATAAAAATAGCCAAGAGACGAAAAAAAGGCTAGTTCAAGTTATGAGGACGTGATAACTTTAAAAAACAGCCTCATTAGAAAGGAGCTAGCTGTCTAAATTGTCAGTTACATCAGACAGAATCGGTACAGATGTAGTCTCTCTAAATTCCGTAAATACTCATGTAAGACTGCTGAATTTGGATGCATCCCAATAGGAATTGAGTTGCCCTAATACTTTGTCTGCACCAGTAGGTATACACGACCTTTTAATTTCCACAGGTTTAAAGTATGTAATTGGTACTGTTCGACAGCTTGTTTGAGGAAAACAAAAGCTGATCCATAACTTCCWGGTTGTGTGAGTTAGTCTTTGGCCACTAATTAGGTTTTTGCGGACAGCCAACCAAAATATTAACATACCATTTTCCTTTAGACTATTACCTAAGTGAGGAGCTGACAGTGTTTATACATGAGTACMGATTGTCTTTTTCTGATCTGTGACTCTGACTTCAGACTTTCTTTTTTTTCTGTGTTTTCAATACTGCTGTGTTTGTCCAACATGGTTCTGATAGTTCTTGTAAAGGATTGCCTTTACATTGTCTCAACATTGTAGGGCTCTGTGTGTGTCAGTGTATTTGCTAAAGCAGTGTATGTAATCAATGGGTGCAAAAGTCAGCTTTTGTAGCAGGTTAGGAGTCAAGAAACAGTTCTGCTGGAGGAGAACAATTCCATGGAGTTAACTGACCAGAGCACAAGTGCTGGCCAAGAAAAGGCTTCCTTGCTGAATGTTGTAGCCTGGGCAGGGTAGTAGAAACTAACAAAATTCTAAAGAAGAGGAAAAACAAACCTTGAGAAGGACCACTTTCCAAGACCGTTTAAGAGTTCAGTGATGTTCATCAGTAGGCTTGTATGCAAGTTATCCTTTACAACAAGATAGATGGTTCTCTCCACTATTTCTCCAGTGTTTAGAAGCACTAAAAAGTAGGGTTTCCCACCCTTCTGCTGTTCTTATCTCTAGG